TTGAAATTAAAGTGGAACATGAACGGACTGCTTGCTTTGCGCTAATTAAATGTTAACAAAACACGAACATATCTTAAACGCTCGAAACTTTTTCGCAAACTATTATCTCGCTTTTATAAGCTCGATATTTTGTTACATTCTTCATATTATACACTTGTATCTTCAACATGCATCAAGTTTTCAGTGATTTTAGCACAAACGCGTTCCTCCCCACTTTTTCAGATCAATAAACAGTGGCTTTCTTCTGAAAAATTTCAACTATATTTACTAGTTAAAGCCTCTGATTCATCACAGTACCGGTTTACGATGTCAGAAACATAACATGATTTATTTTCTTGCGGTATACACATCGAAATAAATAACTTTTTCGCATGCCACGCTCGTATTCGACTTGTGCACTCTCTCTTTTCGGTACGTGTGAACATTAATAGATAGCTATAAATCTTAATCATCTGTCATGAGATTCGTTTTCACGTAGAAAGTAGAACACATGTAGATTAAATTATATGGCCATTTATTACTGAAAAAAAATCATAGACGGAGACTTTGGTACATTTTTTACCAATCTATTCGTTTGAACACGAATATCTACGGCGCATAAAGTAATTTATTTCAACGTAGTGGCGTATATGAGAAAAAGATTCATGTAATTTCCCGATTCTAACGTTCAATATTGCAGCAAAGAGGTTCAGGAGTATTTCGATGTACATTTAAAAAATGTATATTTCCGCATCCGCTTCGAGTTTTCTCGTCTGACGAAACTGCATAAAAATTAAACGTAACGTTATCGGATCCAAACGATACGAAAGATACGCCCTTAAAAATTCATGGAGAACTTTGAGACCAAAAGGTACATTTAGAAAAGAAGCTTCGAATTTGTCCGCCGCGTATTCCCACGCAAAAAGAAACAGGATGTGGCTCATCGCAGAAGCGTTTCCGTTTCGTCTTACGGCGAATAAATTCTGCCGTCGATACCGGGACGCGGCGCGGAGCGCCGGATATCCGGTATCGCATTGGCTCACCCGGTACACACTTGGCAGGCTTATGGGCTTTTCAATTTCGTTCCTCGCCGAGTGCGTTCCATACGGTGGCGCGCGATAGCTATTGCGAGAGCTCTACGTGCACGCCCGTTGAAATTTTTCCGAGACGGCGTTTCGGAGGCCATTATGGCTTTCCCATTTCTTGAATGATATCCCGGACGAAAGCGCAATGGCGCGAGAGGATGGCTAACGCTATCCGCGAGAAATGGAAAAATAATTGGCCGGATGCATACGCCAGTCCGGGCGCATTTCGGGAATATATCACGGAGACCGAGAACCACACCGTGCGCTCGCGGTACGGTGCACAGGTTTATTTCGCCTTTAGTTTATTTGCGGTTAGCTCCGCCGTACATAAAAGTTCCCGGGTCACCCGGAAAACGAAATTTTCAACTGTTCGTATTATTGTCGTCAGATCGTTGTTATAATTCTACAATTAATTGGAAGAAGTAGCTTGTCGTTAGCTTGCGTCATTTTATTCGTGATATTTTATTCGGTGACATACACTGATAAAAATATATCTTCATCCAAAAAAATATTACTTTACTTAAGAAAATTATTTATTATACTTAAAAAAAATTTTTTGTCAGTGTAGAAACCGACTATTAAACCTATTCGCGTCAGGTTTAAAGTACCTACACTCCCAGCCTTCAAAATCCACTAAGTTTTCAGAATATCATTTTTTCATCGATCGAATGCTGCATAAACTGTTTCGTGATTAAAGAATCTTTGCCATCTTTAACTAGAAGGTATATAGGATACAATAGATTTTTATTTAATCGTAAATCATCGGAGAGAACAATGGAAATTGCGACATATATTGTTGGGATGTAAAATACATTGTATGCGCAACTTCAGAAAGGATTTCTGTTACCGAGATAAAAATATTCTTGACGCATTTATATTTCTCACAACCTCATTTAGTATAAAAATTTAGTATAAAAATGAGACAATATCAAAATAAAACCAATAATTCTTATTCTCCTCTATCGAATTAAAGAAGATTGACTTACTATATTGAGACAAGAGTAACTTATATAAATGTAAGTTTATATATTCTTGCATTTAGAAAAAATGTTCCCTCCATCTCGCAACGCACGAAGTTGGCACCACGATATTCGACAAAAGACGATACACACTATCAATTTATTCTAGATTTAGAATTTTTCATTTTATTGCAAGTTTTTCCATCTGTCTGGTGCGCCGGTTTCTTTTCGGACGTACTTACATTTAAAAAAAGCCACGGGAGGGTGATAAAAAATTAAATCTGTTAGCATTCTCTCGAATGTAGGAAAGGTTTTACGTCGACGAGCGAAAACATTCGCGCGAGAAAAGCTTTCGCACAAACTTACCGCGACTATCTCGCGTAAATTTCAGGATCCGAAACAATATCACGTTGTATTACCGTTTATTGAGTCTTGACCGGAAGGCACTCAAGAAGCTCGGTGGCCACAATGGCTCAATGCTAAATTGAGAAAGTTCCGGAAAGTTTAATATCCCATATACTCCGCAGGGCCAGTCAACAATAATTCTCGTTACGTCTACAGGATGCACCAAAACTCGCGCATTTCCTTTAAATTATAAATATATCGGCGAACTCGCAAACCCGGTTTTTCTTAGCCCCAAGATTTGATTAATCACAAAATTGTCCATTGTTAAACACGAAATATCGTTGGATTTAAGATTCTATTATAGATTCCAGTAAAGTTCGCGCTTGGAATGAAAATTAATTAAAATTAATTTGTATTTAAAAAGTTAACATCTTCCATTCACCTCTCGAGTTTAATTAGCTTGTTAGTTTTTCTTCTTAACAGCAAAATCTGGAGTTCTTTAATGTATTCGCGAAAGGATAATAAACTCCAAATTTATCAAAGAAGTTGCACAGAGGAATTTGTAACTGATAAAGGGACGCAACAATCTCTGGTACACTCTGTATATTATGTATACTAAAACACTACGACGCAAACGATGTATCCCGAGAAAGGGTACAGTAGGGGGGGGGGGGGAAGCAAAGTTTCTTAATAAACGTTGACGTCGACACCGCGTGGCAATTCCTTAAGTCGATACAGAAACCCGCTTTTATGAACTGACTAACGGATTAGAAACGGACCTCCGTTTTAATCAAGCTCCGTAGAAATATTAATCGCGTTAAAAATAGACTCTAGTTGCATTCAGAAACTTTGAATCATATAATACATTATTCTAATATTGAAGTAAGAGATATTTCTAGACCCATTCATTTCTTAGACTTTTCTCAGCAGCCTGAAAATAGAAAGGTTTGTTGAAATATATTTCAATCGATCCGGCATAAAGAGATTATACGAGGTTTATACATATATTATTAATAATAATCACACAACTGCAAGTTCTGATATGACTAATGGAACTTCTTTCCTCTTATGCTTCAAAGGCGAATGATCGAATGAGTCACCATGTCACGATATCAACTTAGTGCACCATCATTAACGTTTTAACGTCATATCACATTTTTAAATAAACATTTCCGGACACGTGCTCGCGCAGTTACTTTCTTATGCATTTGTTGTTAATGAAACACACGACTAAAGTATTCCACATAGTGTGGAATTACGTTTATACGTTATATGTGAATATACATATATAATTAAACATATATTTCTATATGTGCACTATTATATGTGCGAAATCTGGAAATTAATGTTGTTTTCAATAATTTGTTAGCATGTGGTGCAAATAATATGAAAAAAAAAATCTGCCCCCAGAGAGATTTGAACTCTCGACCCCTGGTTTACAAGACCAGTGCTCTAACCCCTGAGCTATGGAGGCTTTCGAGTGAGAGTTCTTCCAACGTGCTAAAAAGTGTTAGGACGTAAGTCATATTTAATACATTAAATCGAGATAGTATTTTGAATGCAACGGAACTCTCTCTCTTTTTATTTCACAATATAATAGCGTTAGTTGAAAAAAATGTAAAAGATTCTCGCACATTAAAAAAGAATCCATTTATAAATACCGTAATTAAATATATATGTGAAAAGAGGCTCCATTAAATACAGTAATTAAATATATATGTAAGTACTTTCATAACATTATTAAAATTAAATTTTTATCGTTTTTAATTCTCCGTTGATAAACAAAGTCTTCTATTAAAATAAAATTCATGCTTCTCTTTCACGTTGTGTTAGAAAATATAAGTTTTTTTCGTAATAAATTCCTTACAATTTGTTTCTAAAGAAGGCTTATTTAGAAATATTATTAAACTGATTATACTATTTAAAGACTGTCTTAAGTGTTTATTTAGATAAATCATAGCGTAAGATTCCTACTTTACAATATAGCAACACTACTCCGAGTTTTCCCGAGTCAAAAGAATCCACTAATATTTCTCAGTACCTTTGAACCACTTCTTTCGGTGCTACGACTAAATATTAAATATTTATTTTAATACTGCATATTTATAAGAAAATACTCGCATGCACCGCCATCATGAATTTGCGTGTTGACACTTGGCATTTTATCCCGCATCTACTGGAAACTCGAAATTTCGGTGAAATTTCAATTCCGCTGAAACGTCGCTAAAAGCACGCATTCGCTCACGCTGATTTTTTCAATTCGCTCGGTCTTTATCTTATCGTAATTGATATACAACCGAAATAAGTATGTTAAATATAAGAGCACTATTCACGGCACTATAGTAAAAAAAAGAGTGTTTTACTTCAACATTGATGATGACAAACAAGGCGCGATGTGAAAAGCTCGTGAAAAGCGCCTTCCATCACTCGTTTTCCGGCAAATAAGCTACGAAATGCGGCGGAGGAAGTCGATGAAGGACAGCCCGTCGTAATGCAGCCGGTTCTATGTGCGCAGCCACTGTACCTTTTACATACATACCTTGGGGAGTGCATCCTTGAGTGCGTTCGCCGGGCGACAAAGTCCGCCCGCGCTCTCGTCGTAAAATCACTATGTCGCCTGTTTTAAGCTAACGCGACTTCGTGTATCTGCGTAAACTTTAAAAATAAATGAGGATAAAGTAAAATTTTATGACGACGTCGCTTGGATACAATTCAATTCGTACGAAAGCACCTTTATTGCCATTATTATTATTATTGGACGCATTATTGTACGCATCGCGAGCGTGATTTCCGCGAACTTAACTTAATCGCGAAGCGCTGTAAAAATCGACGGTATATCTTACAGATCGCCCCGCAGTTTCCACGGCAGGGTCGCGGAAGAGGAGTCTTTAGAAAAAGGAAGAAACTGCGCACAGTTTCGCAACGTAATTTTTTACGACGCTGTAACTTTGTACACGCCGGAACGATCGTCCGGGGGATCCTCTCTGCAAAAATGCGAAATAGAAAATTATTCGATAATAACGGCCAAGTTCGCCGTTTCGGAATTAAAAACTTGGGCCGCCGGAAATTAAGGCAAGAAACTAACGAACTACGTTCAAGGACTGATTAAGTTCCGACAGGGCTAATTAGAAGCGGCCCGTGCCATTCGTCGACTCGCGAAAATCGTGCTGATTTCATTAAGAGTATCCCACGCCACGTTGAATCGGGGAGCGCGTAAAAATGAAAAAGAGCGCGATCATTTTGAGTTTATGCATCTGCGTTCCGCGCGGAAAATAAATAAAGGCGAAACGAGTGCTCTTAGCCGAAGGTGGAAGCGGGAGCATTTGTTTGTTTCGCGTTATAAAGCACGCCGTACGTTTCCGTTTGAGTAATCCTCCGTTTTTACTGCGGAACAATTGCTTTGCTTTTTCACGCTCGCAAGTCCGCGAACGTCTTTCGTTGTCGCCGTTACGCCGGCTAATGTAATCTGGTTATCGTTAACATATTTATCGCAGTAATTGATCTTTAGAACTCGTAAACATGTAATTATGAGATCGCGATGCGTTTATATTTCAAGATAAGTAGAGAGGGAGACGTATGTACATTCCAAGTCTACCGACAAGTCAGCTACTCAATTTAATATCGAGATATTTACTTTTGCGTATACGTCAAATGCCACGTGTACGTTATTCACTCCAACGTTATTACTTCTTACTGATAACAACAAAAAATCTGCGTTATAAGCAAATTCCCTGTTATCAAAATTTATTTATTAGTACTTTCTTAATATTTATCAGATAAACGCGAGAAACATATTTCCAATACTTTTTATTTCTTTTAATTAACCGAATGCTTTCATAAAGACCTACATTATGTTATTTTTTCCGCTCATAATTTATTTTATTTAATAACTGCGCGCGCTAAATTTAAGATTTATTGTATTTTATGTCATTCGTTGTTCTCTTTTAATTTACTTAATTAACAAATTAATTAATACACTGCGACCAATATCGGCTGTATTATATGTAATGCTAATTCGAACAATGTGTTTTCATCCGCAAGAGCATTTAAGAAAGGAGGAAAAGGAGAGTGAAGGATCTACATTTTATGATCCAACTTTTTCCATCGTCTTGAACGAGAATGCAAGTGCATTCCCTTGCATCCTCCTGCAGCGCGTGTTATCGAAATCCCGGAAGCTCTTCGCCAAGCACGAACGATTGTCTCGCAGCGCAATCGTGGCCGGTCCATTCCGCCCCGACAGCCGCGCGCCTGTCGCCCATTATCGCCGATATTATTGTCGCTTCTCGCGCGATGAACGTTCAATTATGAACATCTCCCGGCACAATCGATGCTTATAATCGCGCGACGCGAGACGAACCAACGCGCGATGATTACAAAGGCGCAATTTTCTACTTGCAGGAAAATTAGCATCGCGTAACAGGCGCGATCAAGGACGTGGCATTACACGAAATGCAAATACAATTTTGTTGTCGACACGTTAGTCGCCACCGTGAGACGCGCGAGGTCGATGAAAGAAAAATCTATCAGGATGTAACGGGGTATGATAAACGTCTTTGATAATGAACGAGCGGAGGTCGCGTCCTCGTGCGCGCGTTATGAAACGTGCTCGCGCGAGGAGGATTACGTGTCTCGAAAATCATTTGGTTCATTCGCGTGGATCTGTCGCTCGGTGCTTTAAGGGGTCATTCCACTTTAACGGCCCAAAAACTACGCTTATCTTTAACAACCTTTTATAAAGTACTTTTTGAAACTTTTTTTTGAAACTGGCACCATTTTGTTATTTTTAAATAAAAACTCTTAATTGAGGTTCGGGACATAGCGACACTCATATCTCTTTTTGATTTTTTGTTTCAGGTGAGCCTGCATGATAAAAGTCATCAACGCAGCGGACTTGCATCTATTTTGACACGCCATTCGAACGGTGCAGAAAACGCTTAATTAAAAATTGTTTAAATGATAAATGGACTTACATGCTACAAAGTTATTTGTCCGATTTTGCAACACAAGAACCTTACTTGAGAGCGGACTGAGCATGACTGATTAAAATATAAAAAATAACTTTATAGCACGTAAGTCCATACATCATGAACTTCAATTGAAATCTCTGTATGTTTCTCTCTTTCTAACACTCTCATTTTCAGTATGATATTATAATGAAGATTCTTTCTGACTATCTCAGGTAACTATTAATTTAATATCTTGTATTGTTTATTGCATCTATGTAATAACTTGTAAATTTTTATTCGTATTGTCAGATCGCTTGAAAAGGACCAAAACCCATGGTCGAAACGTCGCGATGCTTTAATATTAAAATTACAAGATACGGTCAATTGAATTTTATGTTGAAAATAAGATAAAATAAGTTAATAAGATAAAGTAATGCCCACTGGACATTAGTGGGCATTGGTGTACAAGATTTTGGTCAGCGGTTTTCCCCTCGCCGGGAATACAATAAAAGGCACACTGAAACACTTACCAAGAGTTGCTGCGACAGGATAACGATGTATCGGTCCAGAATCAAAAGTTTACGTTATCCAGCTCGCGTTTGAGCCTCAGGGTGACCTCCAGGGTGGAGGTGTCGCTGTGCCACTTGGCGGATGACGCGTTCGGGTCCACCGGATGCGGCGTCGGTAGGTGCAGCCGGTATCTAGCGGAATCGCGACTGGTTTTACGCGTCGGGCAGATTTACAGCCTCGTAAAATTGTCAAAGAAGAGCGAGCTCGCCCGCGCCGAGTCTAACGCGACGCAGTCCGATGGCGAGCGAGCTTCGCTCTCCTTCTGTCACGCGGGGTCACGCCGATAAATTCCGGTCGTGGCTGCTCCTCACCTTGGACTGCGCACGTCGATCGCCTCGGATTCCACGGAGAGCTCCACGTTTTCCCGCGTTTCCTGGGGCAATTTCACCAGCACCGACAGCCACTCGCAGGACGCCGTGCTCGGCGTCTTAAAGCCCACCTAAATAACAATTCGTCCGTTCTCAAGGCCGCGATTCACACGCAAAGCCAGCGCCACACTATGCGCAGTTCGTAATGCGCGATTCGTGACTCGCGGTTTATCATTCGTAATCTGTTATTTGTCGTTTCGTTCGTGTTAACTTGGACAACTTTTAACTTTTACCCGTTGTCACAGGACTCGTATCACGAGTCTACAATTAGTCAGATCACCGGATACGAGAGAGAATAATTGATGTTTCGAGATGTTATCGTGACATTTGCGCCACATTTTTCCGATGCAAATTCTGTTCCTCCAGGAAAATTGTGTACAATTTTATTTTTAAAGCACGATTCGAAAACGATAATACATACATTTCATCGAGGGGGAAACCGCCAAAATCTTGTACGCCAATGCCCACTAATGCCCAGTGGGCATTACTTCATCTCATTATCTTATTTATGTCTTGTTTTATCTTAGTTTATCTTTATAATGCCCCAGCAAGACCTAATATCCAAACTAATGCCCAAAAATGCCTAGTAATGCCTAGTAATGACTAGGCATTACTAGGAATTTTTTAATTCTCCCAAGATTCGGTCCAATTTCTCACATTATTATAAGAGAAAGAGGCAAAAAAGAAACATTTGGATCACTTGGGATAATTTATGCTATTAAGTTAGAAAAAACTTAAACTTACAAAGTTTACTATATGAAATTTAATACCTTTATAAATCTTATAATAAACTTAAACATTATTTACATATTACTATTCCTCAGCCCTCCATGAAAATTTAAATTAATAAATATTACTAATAAAATACCCAGTAATGTCGCAAATCTGTACACCACAATGCCCTGAGCGGTTTCCCCCGCGCATTTAAAAAACGAAGTAAGTCTTATCGTTTCGTTCCACCACGGTCTTCCTTGCTTTCGACCCTGAATTTGCGTGACGAAAATACAGAGACGTTTGCCTCTGAGAAAAAGATACAGGTTTACCGACTATTTTGTCTAACTTATTCTTAGTACGCGCTTGGTATTGTCGAACTGTCCACAGTGCAGGCATAGAGTGTAAAATCGGTAAATCGGCTATTAAATCTACGACGAGAATATGAATGTGTACGAAACGCGATATTATACCCCTGCAATCCCTATTCGTAAGAGCAATGGAGAGGCGCGCGACTTACTCCCAGATAAACGTCTTCCGCCGTCACCGCCTGCTTAAACTTCATCTCGTATTCGGGCGCCTTCCTGGGGTCGTAATCCTGGGAGCTCCGGGTGTCGACCGCCTCCGAGGGATGCCAAATATCGTCGCCCGCGCCCCGTAGGGGTGCGTGAGGTCCCGAACGACCCTTCCCCGGATCGCTCGGTGCGCCGATGTCGCCCGGTCCTTCGGCAAATATTTCATTTCGCGAAAATGTGCGAATCTGCGAGTCCCGCTCGGCTAACGGCTAATAACGTCAACGTTGTCCCGAGAATAACGCGTGATAACATCGACCGCGGCCCGGAGGCGGCGCGTAAACTGTTTAACGGTAATTTAAAAACGGATGTGTAACGATGATTTATAATTAACGCGCGTTGCACGTCGCGCGATTGAGAATTACACGAGTCCTATTAGAATTAATGATTGACAGCGCAAATATAACTCGCAGCGGGTCGCCTCATTGGCCGTCGCGCCGCGTCGGATCGCCTGTAAAGCGTTACATCAATATTACCGGTTTGCGAGGAGGAAATCGATACACGTGCACATAAAACTCGCGGTACGTTACGCTCAGTTCTCAATTAGCTAGTTGCTACGTCTACGATCCGGCGAGGGGCGAGGAGAGAGGGGAGGAGGGATGCAATCCTTTGTAAAATAGAGGAAAGTCCTCTATTATAAAGATAGGTTTCTAATATGAGATAGCAGGTTTTCAATACCCAAATTCAATCGCAAATATTTCTTTGCAACGATTACGCAATCTAAGAATTAATTTTTCACTAAACAGTTTTCGCCCCGAGGGCAATAAACTCATGGTGGAATCAATAGATGATGCCTGTTAATTTAACAGAAACCCCACTTTCTCATGCTAGGAGCCTGTCTCATAATACGGGACTTGCCTCTAGCTACTTGAGGCTTCTGCTGGCGCTCGATTGCCAGCTTTGACGGTGCACGCAGCTTCTAGTTGAAAATTGTGAGCTACGAGGCGTGAAAAATAACGTCGAAAAGCTTAATTATTCTTGCGACGTACATACAGCGTCAGTTCTTCTTTTAGCGCGGCAGTAGCGTTAAAATGTACCGGAGGCTCTCGGTTTGCTATAATTTAATACGCGAAAGCAAATATTTATTTCAATTCGGCAGCTGTCGAAAAGCTTGTTTTCCGTCCTTGATTAGGTAAAATTCAATATTTGACACGTATGAGTTATTTATTGATTACTCAAACGAAAGCTTTCGATATATTTTACAAGTCTGCCCTATGGATTACAAACGCTACTTCACTGAGAAACAATGTTTTATTTAATGTGCGTTGCAAGAATTTTCATTTGCCGATTCTCGCTTTTGACGTCATCAATCCTAGATGGTCGCAGCGATAACCCAGATGGAAAAATCTTGCTGAAATCGGTGAAACGTGAAATAAAAAGTATTGAAAAGTTACTGAATGTATCTCTAAATGAATCACGGGTTTCCTTAATGAAATCCAGTGTAAAGATGAGGAAAGTTAGAGCAAAAAGTGTTGAAAAATGATAAAGTCATGAAATATTAGATATCATGAAGCTTATTGAATTTAGCTAAAAACTGTGTTACTTTTTCATGAAACTTTTTAACTGAATTTCAACTGAAACATTGATGAAATGATAACGAAATGGAGAGGGACTTTTAAATAAATCTCAGCAACATTTCATATCTTCAGTAAAATATTTCCAAAGGAGCGAACAGGAGCCCCAAGGAGCTTGATAAAATATTCTTTTCCTGTTTACCGTTGTTTCACATCCCCCCTTGAACTCATCCCCCGCGAGTTTCAGGCCCGCGGAAGCGGGCAACAATGCAAAATAAATAAAGCTCGGCTTGCGAGCACAGAGAAATGTGCGAACGAAGAATGCACGCACGCGCGCACGCGTGCGGTGCCGTTGTATCTGCCAATTAATTTGCGTTCCTCGCTTGGCCAAATAATATCCCGAACAATACATCGAATTAAACGTAACGATACAACGAGATTTTAGTTGGGCAGCACACGGACTCGAAATTGCACAGGGGAAATTAGCCGGCGCGCGGCGCTGATTGTTTTAACAGCAACAATTTTGCGCCGGGTATATCTATATCTCCATAATTAATCAGTCGTAAGCATAAACTCACCCAACTTCCTCGCGCCCGCCTGCGGTAGATCGTCCTCGTCGTCGGAGTCGTCCTTCGGCGGGCAGATTAAATTTTGAAGCGCCTCCAAATCCCCCGGACCGAAACACCCGTCCATCGCGAATATTACACGCGCGAGGGGCAGTTTTCCACAGTTCTCGCTCTCCGCCACGACACGACACGACACACAGTTCGCGAACAACAAATTGACGTCGCCATGGCGACGGACCCGCGGTTACCGGCCGATAAGGCGGTCCCGGAGCCGGATTTCGAAATTGACTCGGTCGAAAAATTCCACGTTTGACAACGCGCGGCGCCAAACTGTTTATCTATTAAATTGAATATGCAACAGCCGTCCCCGTCGGTCGAAGAACAATTTCAATCTCGTGTCATGTGAGACGGAAATAAAAATTGTCGAACGTACCGGCGGCACCGCGGTACGGTGACTTTTACAATTTATCTTCAATCATTTTTTTTATCGCACGTGTACAAAATGACGGTAACAGTGTTACAGATATAAGTATAACGCGCACGAAAATCAGAGTTATGCGCGTGGGAAAGATAAGGCAGCAATGCTTCGCCGAAATTAAAAAATACGACACTTGTAAAGTCGATTTAGAGCGTAACTAACGAAACACGATAAGCAGAAACGCGAAACCCTTCATGAAAAATTAAAGGCAAGTTTTTGTACATTCTGATTTTATATTTAGGATTTTTTCCACTCTCAAGACTTTATCTAGACATTTCGAAATCGTGTTAATACGATGATCTTGAATACAAAATCGGATTACGAATACCCAAAGTTGAGTTTAATCAGAAGTTCCGATTAACTTAATCTGCTCTCGAAAAATCAATCGGTGGATTATCACTGAGAGCAGTGAATAGTCACTGATTTACAGTTGAAAACTGCGATTTTCAGTGGTAAACTTGGAACTGCAAATCAGTGGCTATTAACTATTTTCAGGGATAATCCACTGATTGACTTTTAGAGAGTTTGATTGATCGGGTAATATTTATATTATTTCGTTAACATGGATGAAATCAATATTTTGCTGTTTAAGACATTGCTAAGAAAAATACTCTCTCTGATAGTCAATCAGTGAATTATCACTGAAAACAGTGAATAGTCACCGATTAGCAGTTACAAGTATACTATTGAAAATTGCAGTGGTATACTTATAACTGTAAATCAGTGATAATCCACTGATTGACTTTTAAAGAGCTTGCTTGTGCCGTTAGGATGTATAAAATTTTTGACTGGAAGTTCTGGCTATCTCGATATTTTGCAGCTTAAATATTTAATAGGTTTCATTATCTGATTCTCTGAATTAATGATCTTAAGTAACCTTCTAGTTGAATCCACCAGATTTCCAACGCAACCAGATTTTTTTTTTTACCGTGGTGGATTCGAAGGAAAAATTAGATTGGGGATAATGGATTTAGAAATCTTGCCGTGAGAAATTCTGCCGGTTGAATTGCTTCATGTGATTAAATTAACCGAAGTTTAATTGAAATTGCCCTCAAAGTCACCAGGCCTTCCCCGATTAAATTTTATTATAAGCGTCCATAAAACGAGACAGCCTTTTAAAGGTACAATTAATTAGAAAAAAAATGCCATTTTCGGGCTGAATCTCGGTAATCCACTAATAATATTTCCGCGTGAATTTTGTATACTTTTTCCTACTCGATAAACTACGAGTGCCGATTATTTGAACACAGCTGTTTGTTGGGGCAGTAAATCCACATATTTAAATTGATAATCGACGTAACTTTTTGATGTTAGCCCAGATAGCACAAGACATTCTATGAACATTTTAAGAATATTCGTCAAGAATATTTGGAATATTCCATAGGTCATTCTTATATATTAATTTATCTTATTCGACTGGCACCCCATGCAGGCAGCTGACGTAATTTGTCAGCTGCCTACGGCAAAGTGACATTTGACCTTTGACGTCATAATGACATTTCCGACGACATTTCGACGTCAAAATGACGATAAGTGACGTCAGCTGGCTACCTGGGGCTACTATAAATCTTTTTCGAATGTGAATAATCTATCGAACATAGCGTGTCGGTTATACGAGGTCTGTATCCGGAAAGTATCCGACCTTGTGCTGCAGCAAGAGAAAGAGCTACATCTGATCAATGGTATGATCACAGGTTTCACTGCCTTTTGCGTAAGATAAGTGTATTACACAATAAACAATGTGCAATACGTAAACTCGATGAATATTAAAAAAATTATTCTGATCGAATACTCCAAAGACATTCTCGGCGAATATTCTAAAAACGTTCTTCTTTGTTATGAGTATACGATTTCAAATTGTAATAATCTATATATCTATAGAATATTCAATTAGAATATTCTGAAATGAAGAATATTTGCACTCCAGAAGAATATTCATAGAACTATGTGTGCTATCTGGGAGTAAGCATCCTTTTAAATCATTATAAAAAATATATTGCGAAAAATACCCCGAGATTTGAACTTGGACCTCCCTACAATCGTCCGAGCAAAATGTACTAAGAAATTATCCGAGAGATATTTCCTTCGATTGCAGATTATGATATCATGTCAAATATCACTGGGATATCGAGTTCCGTTTAAGATACCGAGCAGTTGGACGTCTTCTAATCGAAGAGGAATTTTTATACTCGGGGGTTGCATCAGCCGATATTGCATCACCCCGTGCGAGATCCGGTAATCGGATCCCTGCATTGCGTTCGTTATCTACCAACAATACCAACGACTTTTCATCAGTTTGCTGCTTCTGCGGCGCACAACGACTGTTAGCGCAGGTATCGGTCCAGTCCTAGAATCGGAAGTCGTGAAAGAGAAGATCACTGGGCCTAGCTGGCGCAAGTCTCAGATTTTGCTGTGCGAGGTAACGAACGTCTTTACCAATTCGACCACAGAAGCCGTTTAAAAGTCCCCCAGACAAATTTGCACAACACATAAATGTATGCGCAAGGAATCCGATTTGGCCATAAATGCGCGCATAAGGAAATAGACCAATCAATTTCTTTATGCGTCTAAATCAACGAGCATCGAGCATTGAATCGTCATATTGATTTACATAACATGCTTATTGGTCTAGATGGTCTTGTGCTATGCATACCCAAGCAGCAAAATAGGGCGAAATTACGTTTATTTGACTTTCTGATAGGTTGAAAAGTCTGTTCGACCAAGCCCAATTTATGTTGTATCGACGTCGAAAGAAGATAAGTGGGGAATAAAGTAGAAGTAATTTTACGGTTGAAATTAGGCAACGTAAGGTATGTCGTCCTATAAGTCATAGTCTGATTTTGTGAAATAGACCTAGCAGAAGGTCGAATATCAGGCACATCTTGGTAATTTTGATCAAATACATAAAATTATACAATTATAGCCCAGCAAACACAGAACATTGAAACAACGTTGCGGCAATGTTATAATATTGCGCAATGTTCTATGTTTGCTGGGAGGTTACGGTAACTTTCAATAATTTAAGGATCAAGACCAATAACTCACTCTCAAGACAATTTTGCTACACATTTAAACTTAAACTTGGACCAATTTCCTTTATAGGTCATTTTCTGTGGTAATTTCAACTTTGTGGTTAGCTCCCACACGGCCGCAAGGTTTATTTCGCGCCTAAAATATTTCTTATTAGTCAAGTCGAACACACAGGTAAAATTTAGGTAATTCTGACCAGTTAAGTCATATCGCCTACGAGATTGAAATTACGTAACACAACACGGTCACATTTCCTTCAAAAGAGACTCTAATTTTGATTTATAAGTTGAATCGATATTAAAGGCACATCTTTGATCAAAATTTGGTCATTTATATATTTAATGTATAACTTTAAAGTCACTTAACTTTGAAAGCATTTCGTACGGTTAAATTATGTAATTTTCGACCTGTAAATAAGACTTCAAACGCCATGTGACTTTTAAGGCATGTTTTATGTCAGAAGTTGATAATTCTTTACTCAAGTTGGAAAATCTGACTTTGGTTTGGTCAAGATGCGCTGCTTTGCTGCTTGGGTATGTGCTATGCAATTTTGTGTGCGATGGCCCTTAAGCGGGGAGCACCCACTTTTGCATAGGTGCATAAGCATATGCAGAATGAACTTTATTAGTTCATAAATTAATAACATCAGTGATTTTCGTTGACCGTATCTGGCAATTAAAATTCTTATTGCGAAAAATATTACCCCGTGTTATTAATTTATTAATTACTCGTGGCGACTTTAAGAATATTCTTACTAGTTTATTAGTTCATCTCCTTGTGCATTTGCTTGTGGACCAATCAATTTCTTTATGCACATGCTTAATTATGCTCTTATGCCAAAGCATGTGTGCTTGCCGCTCGAGCGTTTTCGCTGCATCGCAAGACACGGAATTGACCTCCAGAGTTGATCGCACACGTGACAGAAATTGAAAATGCTTACAGCTTCCCGCGGAAATTCCGTTTCGATCCACCGCGATCGCTAACCTGGCCCACCTCGATCCGAGAATCCCGTCTGGCGTGTGTCACGTGCGGTTGAGCGCAGTTTGACCAACGCAACGGTGCCGGCGACGACCTTTCCTACGGCGGCCTGCCAACGTGGTGGACGCGATGAGCGAGAAGCTGTCGAAAAAGTAAGTAAAGCGCGCGACATCGAACGACGTCGGCGTGTCCGTGGGATATCCGTGCGTTGTGACGCCTCCCGTTCGTCCCGGCCGCTCGCGACGCGCGACTATTCCCCGCGCGGGCGGCATAACCTAAAACGGAGAAAGGCCCGACATGTGGCTCGTCGCCACGCGGTCTTGCACGTCTCTCGCTGCACGGCTGCTCGCACTTGCTCACAGACAGTAAATGTGTTGCGGAAAGATCTAAGCGGGTCACGTGGGTAAAGTCCAAGTCCCGGGAGACTGTCGCGCGACAAGCATGCTCGGCGCGATAACCAATGCTCGCGTTGCGCGGCCGATAGTGCGAACCTGGCTGGCGAGCCACGGGGCGAAGTTGCGTCAGACGTCTCCGCGTCGGTTTGCCACGAAGTGCGTAAATCAATCGTACGATACGTAACGCCCTGGTGCGAGATGAATTGAGACCGATATCCTGATTGCAGCGAGCTGAAGAGGCGTCTCAAGGCCGAGCAGAAGGCCAAGGAGAAGACCGACAAGGAGCAGGCCAGGACGCTCGCAGCGGCGGCTCAACCGAAGCCCTCTGAGAAGAAGGATGTCAAGGAAGAAGAGATCAGTCCAAATGTAAGTCTTGATGTGTCCAAATTTCAATTGGCATCGACTTGTCTCGAGGAGAGCTCGCAAAGAATAAAAGTCCTTTTGTCTCGCTAACAATTACTTTTTCTTGGACTTTTTTTTCACGATTCAATAACTCTGCTTTCGGTATCTCGCTCGAGTCTTGCACGATGCAAGATTAATCTTATTAAATCTTACGTTAATTTCGAAAGCTATAGAAATTCTATTGTTTACAGGAATACCTTAAGCTCCGGACGAATTTGGTTAATCAGCTGAAGACTGCCAATGACAATCCTTATCCGCACAAGTTTCACGTGTCGATCTCTCTCGAGGAGTTCATCGAGAAATTTAAGGATACAGTAAAAGATGGTGAGATACTCCAAGACGAGGTACATAGCGTTGCTGGACGCGTTCACTCTATTCGAGGATCCGGCGCCAAGCTGATCTTTTACGACCTTCGTGGGGAAGGTGTCAAAGTGCAAGTGATGGCCAACGCGAGATTGTACGAGAATGAGGAGAAGTTTGTAGCAGACACCGCAAAGATTAAGAGAGGCGATATCATAGGCGTCGTCGGCAAACCTGCCAAAAGTCAGAAGGGCGAATTCTCGATCATACCGCTCTCTATTACCCTCCTGAGTCCATGTCTGCACATGTTGCCGCATCTCTACTTCGGCCTCAAGGACAAGGTGAAAAGGAAATTGACAGAAAATTGCGATGATTCTTGAGCGGATATTAGAATCGTCGTGATAATTTCATGTAACTCGATACAACATATGTAATGTTATGTGACTATAATATTTTTGTCTAGTAGCAAATGCGATTGCTTGCATTAGTGCACACTAAGGCCTGTTTATAGTAAATTTTTACATTTAACTTTGTCTTCAATACATGTTCAAAGAGTATTTAGTCAAAACATGATCCGTACGGATGCTATACAGATCATTTTACTAGCTACGAAATATTTCAAGAGATATTTAAGATGATCCTTAAAGATAAGAATTGGCTGTAAACAAGCCTTAGTGTGCACTCAGTGCACACTAGTGCAAGCAACCGAATTCGTTACAAGTCGTGCTAAACGCTTTTGTATGCAATCAGGAAACGAGATTCCGACAGCGGTACCTGGATCTCATATTAAATGATAAAGTTCGACAAACCTTCCACACACGCGCCAAGATAATCGCTTATATGCGCAAGTTTCTTGACGATATGGGTTTCTTAGAAGTCGAGACTCCGATGATGAATATGATCGCTGGAGGAGCGACCGCCAAACCCTTTGTTACGCACCATAACGAACTCAATATGGATCTGTTCTTGAGAATTGCCCCGGAGTTGTATCTCAAGGTAAATAAAATTATTCCATTTCCCTAAAGTCTAAATTAATCTCGAATAAAAGGAAAGATAAGATACAACAGTACTGTAAACGTTTAATAGATGTTAGTCGTCGGTGGGATCGACAGAGTGTATGAGATCGGTAGGCAATTCAGGAACGAGGGCATCGACATGACTCACAATCCCGAGTTCACCACCTGTGAGTTTTATATGGCGTATGCCGATTACAATGACCTGATGGAGATGACGGAGAACATGGTGTCCGGCATGGTGAAGGCCATACATGGAAGTTACAAGTTAGTGTACCATCCGGACGGGCCGGAGGGCAAAGCATATGAAATCGACTTCACACCGCCCTTCAAGCGCATCTCGATGATGAAGACGTTGGAAGAGGTTCTGCAGGTCAAACTACCTCAAGCCGATCAGCTTAACACACCAACAGCAACCAAGTTCCTTAGCGATCTTTGTGACAAGCACCAGATCGAGTGTCCTCCACCTAGGACATCGGCGAGGTTGCTAGACAAGGTAAAACGTAGATCAAGCTTTGTGAGATACCTAACTTGAACTTTTGATCCTTTAGAATCTAGTAATCTTGATAAATAATATCCTGTACATGATTGAAAGGAAAAGGTGGTAGAAACGTTTGTATTTTCCAATTACACATAATATTAGCTACTCTAAATCTTTTGCAAAATAGCTCGTAGGAGATTTTATCGAAGAAACTTGTATCAATCCCACCTACATTATTGATCATCCGCAAGCAATGTCTCCATTGGCGAAATGGCACCGATTAGAGAAGGGTCTTACTGAACGGTTCGAGTTATTCGTTATGAAAAAGGAAATTTGCAATGCATACACCGAACTGAATGATCCAATCGTTCAGAGAGAAAGGTAAAAAGTCAAACTTTTAATTAAAAACTTGTATCAGTATAATATTAGTATGTTTTGAAAGATTATTCATGAATTAACTTGTTCAATTTTCAAATTGAAGAAATTATTGGACAACTGACAGGTAGTTTATTATTTTAAATTAATCCGTTCTCTTGTAGAGCAGATCAACTTAATAAACTACCTACCAGGGTTGTCCAACAATGTCTTCGATTGTTATTTATTCATTGGTGACGAAAATCATTTATTCTTGTTCAGGTTTACGATCATTTTGCAAATTTAAACATTTCAAATGTACATATAGGTTCGAGCAGCAGGCAAAGGATAAAGCAGCGGGCGACGAGGAAGCACAATCGGTTGACGAGAATTTCTGCACAGCTTTGGAGTACGGTTTGCCGCCAACAGCTGGTTGGGGAATGGGTGTGGATCGATTAACAATGTTCCTCACCGATTCGAATAATATTAAAGTGAGTATATAAATTAAGATATGTGTACTGTAGTTTTTTAAGTGTTTAGGAGAGAAAATCGAGAATTGTTTTAAGTTAATTTACTTGTTCACAAATTAAAATATTTTATATAGGACATTAGGGAGCGAGAGGGGGGATATCGTAAGAATGTACGTTTCTTTTGCAGGAAGTATTATTCTTCCCTCAAATGAAGCCGGACGATCCAAATAAAAACAAGGAAGTGACTGAAGATGATAAAGCGTCAAACGATAGTGCAGAAAAATAAAGTTAAAATTATTTATAAAAGTATACATAAAACTGATAAAATTTGAAAAGTATTTTAAAATATTTGAAGTTTCCATAATTTAATCGACAATTGGTTTATAGAAAAATACCTCTTTTTTTTTTATTAAAATTATATTAACTTCCAATTACAATAATTCAATTATACAAACGATGTTTATTATATGTATCATTTATTTCATACCCGACTACAACACGTTCATTACATACGATCAAACATTTACAAAGTCGCAAAAACATACAAGAACACAGTTATAGTATATGTACAGTATATTAAAGCGTCCCTTGTCCATTAACGTCACAATTACAAACCATTTGTATTCTTTATCTTTCTCTTTCATCATTTTGCCACATGGATGAACGATTGAAATCATAAGATTATTAAAATTACATAAAAAAATCTATAGAGTTAATCAGGAAACAGATAATGTTGAGAACAGAAGTTTTTGCAAGTAACGTCCTTGTGTATACTGAGCTACATTTTAAGACTAGGAATCTTAGTTCACTGTCGTTTCAAGATATGAATTAATAAGCTACATAGTACAAGAGCCTATTTATTAGAAAAGTTAAGGACCAAAGTTGATTCGTAGAAGGTAAAATGAATTAAAGGACTTACAGTCTTATCCTTTCTAAATCGAATCACATCACTAATTTATTCAACTGTCCGAATATACCTAGTATCGAAACCCAGTCTCGAATATTCCTCGTACATATAGATTTGACAGCCACTTGATATTTCCGAAACGTGATAGCTACCACAATGAACACGAATAGTATGCGCAATAAGATAGTACTTCAACCCTTGGAACAAACCAAAGAACATCGAATCTTAACAAGTATTTGCATATTTGCTGGCAGCATGTTTATATTGTCTGATATCCATTTGGAAAATAAATATAATTCTATATAAATTTAATCATAACACAAAAGCTCTAAACCAGTTCATACCTAACTCGCCGAGGTATTTATAATAGCCTGTACTGATAAATTTTCGTATGTCTAAACGCTCCTACAGTCCGCATTCCCATCGCACGTCTCGCACTAAATATGATTACCTGAAGCCTATTTAATATACAGGAAGATCACACACAATAGTGTATGATATGTTAAAAACCATTTACTTGATTTGTGTTAAATCCGAAGTTCCAATATGACGAAACATACATCTGCAAAACTTTAGGATGTGATTGAATTTATTAAATATGTAATGAAAATGTACCTTATAAATCTACAAAGAAGTTCTTATCTCTAGTATTTCAGTAAAATTTTATAGAACTTTCAGTCATGTTTAGCTCTAAATGTGCACATCCAAATGTAAGTCAGTAAACTATTATGAAACGGCCAAGAAAATACGATTTACTAATGATTCATTGATATGTATTTTGTATTTTTAACTAATCAATGACTGTAAAAAAAGAATTCTTAAAATGTGTGTGTGACTATTAAGATTACTGATCTGATCAATAATATATTTCGCGCATTTAATGTAACATGTTTCTAATTTGCAAAAAGTTAATTACATGCATTTCACATTGAGTCCTTTAATAGTCACGAAACACATTTGAAGAATTTCTCTTATAAATATTTTATCATTACATTTAATAATCACAATAATGTAAAGTTTAGAAATGCAATTCTCGTCGGAAGATTAAATATTCTGCTGGCAGCTTTTTCAACATTTTTATATGTATATACTTATCGATAAAAATATTTTATACTATTTAAAAATTTATTATTAATTTCTCACATAAAATAAATTAATGTATTGACTGGTAAAACATGTTTGTAAATGGAAACATGCTTAATTTGTTACGATCAATAATAGAAGTTGAAGACTGTTGTAACAAAATAGAAATAAAGTCTAGAGGGAACCTTTATCAGCTTTCCTCGTCCTGAGCGTGTTTCGTAACAGAATTGTAATGGGCCCCTAACTCATACATATGTCGATGATAGGTCAGTATTACCTTTCTGCCATTGCTGTATTCGTCACCAATGACGTATGGCGCTCCCGTAGCTTGTATGACCTCGATTGGGCATTTCAGTACGCGCGATAATACCTGCAACTGTAATAAAACAAAAACAATGAAATGTTTCACAAGAGAAAAGTATGCACATTAACAATTCATGACAGAGAGAGAAAATAATGCGAGCATTAAATGACTAGTCATCGTGTCCAGTCTACCAGTCTATAAAGACCTATGTCTACTATGCTAGAACTTGATCCAAGTTCTAGTCTCAAGAAATGTATAATCAACTTACGCCTATTCCATAAAAGCTGCACGTTTACTGGCTACGCATTTCTCGGAACTAGAACTTGGACCAAGTTCTAGCATCGTGAACACAGACTTTACATTTACCTCAACTGCGCCACCCCAAGCACTAGTTTCAGCCACATCGTTGCAATACTTTTCATATTTGTCTGGTGTCAATAGATCGTCGGACTCGGGATTAGAGAGAAATGGCAAAAAGTCGTTCATATTTTCTCTCAAATAATTAGCAGTCTTCGTTCTAAGGTCGTGCAGGCTGAGAGGCGCCTCTCCGTTTATCTTAAGCTGATGCGCCACTGCGTTATACAAACTAAAAACAAATTCGTACATTACGCTTAGCCAAGTAACTCACAAACCAAGTAAATTGTGATACAACTCATATTTCTTTCTTAGAACAATGTAGATAAGGCTACACGTTTTACGATCTTTACCAATGGCCGTCGCTAGGAATTTCGTAGATCATTAAGTCGCGCTCAGAAAGGATCTTCTTTATAGCTTCTATCTCGACATTCCTTTTGCCAAAGACATTAAGCGCTTCCTGCTCAATGATCCTCTGATTGCGTTCCTTCTCCGCGCTTGCCTTCTTCTCCCGTCTCTTCTGCGCTTTGGAAACCCTGTGTGCCGACTGCTCCGGGCAATTGTCTGTACTAATCTCTTCGCTCGCTTCCGCGGGCTCCGTCTGTTTATCGTTCAACGTAACATTAGCCAGTTTCCATGTGTTCAGCTCCTCCGTTTGACGGTTCTCCAAACTCTCTTCTAAGCGTCCTATCTCTTCCGTAATCTCCTTCTTCTTCTTCTTGTCTCCTTTACATATCGATTTCTTCAAGATCTGTATTTGCGCTACGATCAAGAGAGAAAGGTCGAGCATTAGACACCCACGTTGCGCAGACTTCCTAACCTCAAATCGACCACAGCAACAATGATTTAAAAAAAAAAAAAAAGAGGATAAAAGAGACCGTGATTTTCTAAATACCTTGCAGTTCCTTTCGTTCTTTCTTGTGCTTCTGCAGTAGTTCTTCCTCCGTTAACGCCTCTGCCATCGTAATTTAAATATAATCTCTACGACCTTCCGTCACTGACACACACTCCGTGCCAGAGAACCAACGGAACTGAACGGAACAGGAAGCTGGACTGCTGGACCTGCTGGACTCATTTGACGACCGCGACGAAAATCAAAGTGCACCGTGATTGGTCAAGTCGAATTCGCTCTTCTCTCCTACAGTGGTACCAGAGAGAAATCTGAGAGCGGCCACGCCGGTGTTTTACTTGATACCAATGGCGAATACAAATCTTCCCGGTAATATGGCCACTGATTAGAGTGGATTAGAGGGCTTCGTGAGGCTACGTGGAAACCCATTCGTGGAGATTGGCGGCATAAATGTACAATACAAATAAAAATGATCTACGAATATGGACTAAATTTATTTATTTTACATAGCTATAGTTTTTTTATTAATGAAAAAAACAAGTGGAGAAACAATTAACTTTTTTACATTATTAATGAAAAAAAAAACAAGTGGAGAAACAATGAACTTTTTTTACATTATTACAGTTATAGTTACGTTGTTAGCATATCGTTTGATGAAGAGGGTCCAGCAAGAGGGTCGTCCGCATCTGGAGGCTTATTTTTTGGTTTCTTAGGAAAATAAGCGTACAATTTATCCGACGACATCAGAGACAGATGTGTTGCGTCGATTGTCATGGTCAGAGCAGTTTCCCCTCTTGCTTTTAACGCCGATTTTAATACACAAGTGGCATTTGCAACGGCCGACGACAATTTGTTTCGTTTTTTCGATTTAATGTCCGTTAAAAGTGAAAATATCCTATCCGGATTGGTATTCGAATTTGGGAGCGCTCTGATAGAATTTAAGAGGGATTGTAAATGCGGATATTTGATTTCATCAGTTAAATATCGACTTTGTAAAATTTTTATCCACATGTCATCGAAATTTAATTTTGACAAACTTTGTTTCTCTGGTATCGTAAAATCTGAACTCAATTTGAACCATTCTCTTTTCAAGCCGTTTCCGTTAAAACCGCCGATGGTTCTGGCGATGAAAGAAACGTCGTTGTACGTTGTTGCCCTGTCATTACTTAATAAAGCTGTGTGCGGTAGAAAAACTTGTAATTTCGAAAAAAATACATCATTAACTGGTAACCTGTTATAAATTTCCTCGGCTGCGGTAACATAAAATTGTAAACAGTTCTTGCGAATAGTCGCGATCACGTTCGCATTGCCATCCTTCATTAGTTGGCAAAGGTATTCTTCGCATTCCAATCCTAAATTAATATCAATCAAACTTTTATGATTTTCACTTTTGCTAAACGTTACATTTGGCAAATCCTTTAAAACTTGTGACTTTAAAAAGTTTGTACAAATTTTAGTTAGCAAATTCATAGATTTGGAGTGTAACAAGTGAATTCTGGTTTCCGCAGCTTGGAAAAATGTATTTAACGTATTGAAGGAATGCAAAATGTATTTCAAGAACAGCAAATATGCCTTTATCTCCACGCTTTCCATTACGTTCAATAAATTGTCTCCGGTGTCCGTCTTTTCATTTATGATCGTTTCACTTAAAAAATGCTTTATAATGTCCCAAGAATCAAGAAGTTGTTCGATACATGCGTAATGAGACAGCCATCGCGTGTCAGATAATTCTGAGACTTTTTGATTGCTTTCTTGAGTACATTGAGAAAATTCACGAAAAATAGCTGTCCGCTTAGGACTACTGTTAATATAAGTCACCATTATTTTTACAAAGTCTTCGTAAATCTGAGGTATTTTGGCACATGCAGCGTCCGCGGCTAATTCGACAGAAAGACACGGACACGATAGTGTTAAGACATTTGTACACATTTCTTCTAAATATCTTTTAAAGACTAAATGTTTCCCTTGCATGAGAGATGCGTAGTCGCACGATAAAGCAATAATATTAGATAAAGGTATTTCGAGCTTCTGCAGTTCTCTCTTAAATACATCAAATAATTTTTCAGTACTGCAATCTGCCGAATCAATGTCAACTAGTTTTATTAATTGTGAGTGAACTTGTAACGTTTCAGGATTAACATATCGAACATGGAACGTCATCCACTTCTCGTTAGATATATCAGATGTTTCATCGATGAAAACAAAAAACTTGGTATTTTGAATGTTGCTCACTATGTAATCCGTTTCTACTGAACACAAGACGTTCGAAATTATATTTGTACATTTTGTACGCCCCATGCTCATGCTTTTTAGTACATTGGGATTTTTCGCTACATCTTGGAAAAAATGGAGTATCAACTTTGCCGTTTCGTGCGGGATGTTTTTGTCGGCAATTAAAGCAGCGTATCGAATCTCGGCTGATTTTTTTTGCTCCTCAAACAGCAAAAGCGATTCGTCAACTTGTAAATTTACATCCGTATTCGTAATGTATATTGGTGTATCACTTTGGCCACATTTACTCTTATGTGCATTAGACTTTGCGTGACGACAAATTTGTGACAAGCCACCGGTAATAGTTTTATCACAAATTGCGCAAAAAAAAGCGTTTGCATCATTCTCCACTTCGCGTAGCCATGGTTTAAACCTCTCAATCTCTAACCATTGTGGCCTAAACATTTTTCTACAAAGTGATTTTTTTTTAGAACTTTCATCAAGTTCTAATGGATCTTTGTCAATATTTTTTTTATGCTGCTCAGATCTGGCATGTCTTTCTATATGTGATGACGAGCTGCATGCAAAATCTTTATCGCATATAATACAGTGAAAAACGCTATCATCCAATGGTACTTTACGAATCCATGTGTTAAATCGTTCATCTTTCAGCCAACAATCTGAAAAGCGTCGCTTTCTTTTGTTTAACTTATCAGACGTTTCCATGTTAAAATAAAAAAAACCAAGAATTAACTGCGACACATAAATTTAACAAATTGATTAAACAGACCGAGTACAGAAAAATTTCTGAATATATAATTTTATAACCTGAGCATATATAGTCTATAGTCAGTTGAGCTTCACTAAACAAGGATTCTTCAGTTCATCAGGAGCATAATTCAAGAAGCGACCTTATCGCGAGTTTGCAAAGCCATGAGATAACATTAAATGCACTTATTTACCAGCACAATAAGTATGTTAAAATGATCTGACCATAAAAGAACGATCAGAAAGAATCTTCTTTATGGCTTGTATCGCGATATTCCTTTCGTCAAAGACATCAAACACTTCCTGCTCGACGAACCTCTGATTGAGGTTACCTTTTTTCTCCGCAATTGCTTTCTTCTACTGTCTTTTCTGCACTTCAGGAATTCTGTGTGACAACTACTCAGAAAAATTATCTTGGCCAATTTCTTCATTCACTTCTGTGGAGGCTGTTCGTTGTTCAGTGTAATATCAGTCAATCTCCACGTGTTCGACTCCCGCTTTGATGTTATTCCAAGCTTTCTTCTCTCTGTATACCCTATTTCTTCCGTAATATCTTTCTTATTCTTCCTTTCTCCTTACAATTTCTTTAAGGTCTGTACTTGAGCTAAAACTAAGAAAAAAAGATAGAGTATTAAGAGCTTTAGCAGAATAGTTGATTTAACTTCAAGATAATGATTTATGCTTTAAGCCTTTGTCTTAAATAACACATCGTGTACTGTGTGTAAGAGCTTAAGTAGAATGGCTGTCTTGTATTCTTCAAACATAAAACAGTTATTATTACTTTAAGACGAGGACTTGAAACGTAAAACATTGTTTTAAGAGTACAAGACAGCCGTTCTGTTCAGGCTCTAATACTGTATATTATGTCTCATGTCTTCAATGTATATACGAAAGCAGTTTGCAAGGAGTAAAAGTATAACTTTACTGAATAACTATTAATAGTGAATAGATATATTTTATAAATGCCGTGTTTAAATTACCATTCATTCTGTTTAGGTCCAAAGAATCCAGAATCAACAAAGTAAGCGCAGCATAAGAAGACCCTGCGTACAATAGAGAAAGTATTAGAAAAGAAGAGAGATTGAATATAATGCACGATGATAAAGAATAAAATATATACAAGATGTAAATAGAAAAATTATCATACAGACATAACCTAAAATATTCTAGATTATGGATTTAAACAATATAGATTTAATAATGTGATCGTTTTATATAAACAACACAAATAATAATAACGCCTTATACGATTAGGTTAAATCTCAGTGCCAAATAATTTTATGCATATATCTTTTTTCAACAAACCGCGCGCCGATAACTTTCGGTCTTGAACACAGTCTTAAACCGTAGTCGCAATAGTGTACGTAGTGAAATTGATAATCAATTTAATAGTTTAATTCAACATTTATAAACAAACTATAAAGAATTAATTGCGAAAAATATTACATCAAGATTCGAACCTGGACTTTCCTACTATCCGTAACGGGACACGAGTGTTCTTAACCAGAGGGAAGAGAGAAGCCTGAGAGATGCAGCGTTTGCAGATTCTGAGAGGGCGCTTATCGTATCACAGTATAACCAGTATGCCCACTCGCTCTTTTGTTTCACGTTCGCGCCGATCCGTACTGCGCATCCGACATGTTTTTATTATAACCAATCACAGGATTTTTGTACGTGTGTTAGTGCAAAGTCGGTGTGACATAGAAAAATT